TTTTTCCTGTACTACCATTTGGCAACCCCTCATTTTTGCAGCCACTTTTCAATAGTTTCCTAAGGTCATTATTTTTTTTTTCTTCATGTTTCTATAGATAAAAGAAATTATAAGCTACAGCATTTCTTACGAGATTTAGTGGATTCTTCTCTCCTAGATAAATTTCCAACTGATAGTCTTCTTTATGAAAAATGTTAGTGCATTGTAACAAAACAGTTTTCTTTACTTAAATAGCAACTGCTTTTAAAATATAACTATCATTATAGCCACCTGCCATTTTATCGACAACTTTATGGATGGTTTTGGTGTAACTGTTACCTGTTGGCTCCATAATATTTCCTAGCAACTGTTGGCAGAGTATTATTTAAAAAATAATATAAAATAAGTTTTGAACTCAGCAATGACGTAGGCATGCATTTTTATCCCTATGTAGAGCTCCCCTTGCCTTTTTGGTAGAATACGCTTTTGAAAGATGAGCCTGCCAACAATCCTATGTATTAGTGTGGCACTTCCCTTCCTTAGGTGCCTGCTATGAACAGATGGCAAGAATTGCAAAATGTTGACTGTGGTAACTTCCAGTAGCCTCTGAGTTTGGGCCTCACAGTTATTTTTGTCTTCTTCGCAAAATCAAGGAAACATCATGACATCATAGATTTCTGGGGGGTCATATGTTCACTATTTTGACAAATATGGAATTTAAAAAAAAAAATTAAGGTTTTAGAGCTTCATTCCTTGACCTCTCATCTACTCAGTCAGTTATGTACCTCTCCTTGAATATTTACCCTCGCTTTACTATTTCTGCTTCCATTTTTGCCCTGTTGTGTCTTTATGAAGAGCCTCTTCATTAATCTCCCAACTTTTCCAGATTCCAAGGAAGATCCTCTGTGGTATCTTTTGATCCTTTTTTTTTTCCCTCTTATGCATTGACTTCTCTGATTTCTGTCTCTACATGGATAGATTTGTCTGCTTGTTCCAGACCTACATACTTCTCTCCAAACTACATTTTGGGACCGTCTCTGTGACAGATTTGTAGCTGTCAGCTAAATCACATAATGGCTGAGTAAGAGGGCTTATGCCTTCAACACCAAGCATATTTATCTCCTCCTTTCTGGATTGTTGTAGATAATATTACCATTCTGCCTGTCATTTGGGCCATAACTTGACTTTTGTAAATGCCCTGGACATTTCTTCAGTTTTGTACAGCCGTTCTGTGTCTACACCTTGCAGGTTGCTTTGGGAGCAAATCTTTTCCAGAGCAGACATTTCTCTTCATCTACCCAGCTAAATCTCATCCCGTTTCTCACTTTAGTGTTAATTGTTGCAGCATCCTTTCACCAACCCTGAAAAATGCAGTCTTGACCATTTTATTCATCTAGAATGTGGCTGCTAAGATTCCTGAACTGAACAAGTGAGGATCAGAAAGGCTGGAGAAAAAGTAAAAAGTTGGAAGTAATTTGAGAAAGTGTTAATTTTTTTGAGCTTTTTAATTGTAGCTGTTGTAAAAAACAGCAAAACTGGTGCCAAGTAACTGTGATTCAAAGAATCTTTTTTCCTCTGTCTGACACTTCCTGTAGTGAGTTCTGGGTGTTTTTTAACCATCTTCAGTAACTTTAATGTTTGTCACATCAGAGAAGTGCTGGTAATGGCAAGGATGGCAAGAAAAGAGCAGAGAAAGATCTCTGGATAGACAAGTTATCTTCTTTTTATCCATTTCGATACAATGGGGAGGTTAATGCCTGAAATGTTTTTTTAAATGAACTGCTCGTGAAAAAAAGAACAATATCTCTGTAAACATTTTGAGGCCAAAGTCCTGCTGCCTTAGCTGAAATCCCCATCCTGGGGATACTGTGAAGCCACTGAAATTTTGGTAGCAACAGACTGAAAGTAATGCCTGAAATGTTTTTTTAAACGAAATTAAACTGAATTTAAACGAATTTAAACTGAAATTTTGGTAGCAACAGACTGAAGATAAAGGGCAAGCCCGTGCCATGCTGGACACAAGCCCCCACCACCCGGGTCCTCTTGCTGTACAAGCCTCCTGGGCCAGGGATTTCCCAATTACCAAGAAGAGGGGGAATCAGGACTGTTTTCCTAATGAAGTAATTACATAACCTGCCTAGCCTTATCTCTGAATAACTCACTGCTCACAGAGGTAGTTATTTTTCTAGCTCAGCTGACAGATACACTCATTGAATACTCATGGTTCAAGCCCCGAGAGAATACATCAGCAATATGTTTAATACTTTTAATCTTTACTTCTAATAAAAATATAGAAAAATAAACAAAATCCATGTTACAAAACTGATTTACATTGCAAAATCAGGCACTCTGGAGGCCAGAGTTACCCCTATCGTGCATATGGCAAGAGTCCTTTATTCTCTGTGGTACAGCATATTTCTTCCTGTGGTTTGTATTTTTGTTCCAAAGGGCAGCTTCATTTGGCACTCGGGAAGAGTTGAAGGAGCCTGTGAAGAGAGGGTTAACACAACAACAGAAATGCAGCTAATAATTTGCAAAGTAAAAAAAAAAAGTGCCCCTGTACTTGCATAGCATTATCAAGCCTGCCATTTACACTACGTTTAATAAATACTCTTTTTCTATTTAATATCAGAAATATCATGTTGTGTTATTGAAAGAATGAATATTTGACAAAATTATTTGCAGTTGAACTTTGGCAGTCTCTCAATTGCTGTGCACGGAGGTTGGTAAGCGCCCACTGGTTTGGTTTTGCTGAGTTAGTGCTGTGTGGCTCTGAAAAGCATACTGAATATAATAAGGAAATTGATTGTGGTTTGTTTTGTCTCTGAGTTTTCTCTCTGATGCAAGCTTTTCTTTTATAACCTTCTTTACATTCAACACAAATATATAGTCCCATTTGTGAAGAAGAGGGAAGGGCTTTATTTTGTTGTTATGTAGCAAGCGTATATTTCCTGTCAACTGATCCCTTTGTTGTATGGTTTTTAAGACCTAATGATTTCCTTTACACTCATCATGTGTTGCTTAACCAGGTGGGACTGGCTGTTAACTCACTCCAGCTTATAAATTTTAGCTGGTAAAAGATATTGCCCTCTGAATTGGCTGTTGAACAAGATGGATAACAAGTGAAATCTAAGGGATATGGTTGCTGGTATAGAGTTGCTGCTATGCAACTAAATCAAAATTCCAGCAGCAAAAAAAAGCTTGCCTCACACAGGTGTTAGCAAAGTTCACTGCAGCTGCCAGAAACTGAGATTTTTTTTTTCAGCCTGTCCAACTGAACGTATCTGAATATACAGCGTCTGCAGGATATGGCTCAGCTTCAGAGACATTAGCTGCCTCACCACTCGCTTTCTGGTACTTGCTATTATACACTGGGAACACCGAAGTTAGTTTGCAAATCTGTAAAGAATATTAGGGACTTGGCATCCCTGCATGAGCTTCTAGAACTTGAAAATCTGGCAGCTATATCCAGACATATTCTGGACGAGTGACAAAAGTGTCTAAGGAAGAAGTGATCTTGTTTCATCTTTAGAAGAAAAAGTCCTATTTCTTCACAGAATGGTTGAGGTTGGAAGGAACTTCTGGAGATCACCTATTCCAACCCCCTGGCTCAGGCAGGAACACCTGGAACGCGTGCACAGGGTCACATCTAGGCTGGTTTTGAAGATCTCCGAGGGAGAATACTCCACAGCCTCTCCGGGCAATCCACTCCAGTGCCCGGTCACCCTCCCGGTCAAGAAGTTTTTCCTCATATGGAGATGGAACTTCCTGTGTTTCAGCTTGTGCCTGTTGCCTCTTGTCCTATCTCTATCCACCAGCCAGTGGTAGGCTAGTAATTAGCAATACATTAGAGGATGACAGATACAAAGAAAAACTAATTTCTTACCATCCTGCAGAGTTATAAAAAAATCTCAGAAATAAACAACATGATATGCACTTTTGTGGAAGCTGGGATTAAGACTGATTTTAGTATTGACAAGGGGCTATTAGTGTTGGAGAGTTTGCTTTGGTTTCCAAAATTGGCTTGGGAATCTCTTCTTTGGACCTTGAACAGTCTGGTTCATTTTAGGACTGAAAACTGGAAGTAATTCAAGTGCATAAACATAGGCATCAAGAGATGACTGTATGTGGCTGGCAGATACAGTACAGGACCAGTGCAAGTCCAGCTCGCTTCTGGGTTGGCAACTGGACACCAGGCAAGATGCCCTAGTGTTTAAAACGGCGCTGGATGCCCAAATCTCTCTCTAAATGACTTACCAACTATTTAAACTCAAGAAAATATTAATGTGTGACTGGGCTGGTGAGCTAGGCCAAATCTGCGAGATTTTGTTGTTCTCAGAGGCCGAACGAAGCATCGTTCGGAAGGACCACATGGTGAGGCATGCCAGAGGATAGGAAGAAAAGGAAGCCCAGCAGGTTCTGCTCTTTAAGCACAGAAACAGCCTGGCAGTGCCCCTGCTAGTGCGGGTACTACCCTCACTGGCACTCACCCTCCATGGCTGTGGAAGAGCAGAGAGCCCCTGGCTACTGAAGCGAGGCTGAGAGTCTCTTTGGGAAGAGACAGAGCTCTGCCACTAAGCTAAAACGAGGACCAGTCCGAATGAAGCTGTGGCTTGGATTTCCTACATCTGCCCTCCTGTCTTCAAGCCAAGTAATTAGAGGGTTAGTGATGGTGTGTTTATCCGAGGAAGACCTGTGCTTAATTGCTCGGCAGCGGAGGGCAAAGGGCCACGAGCAGCGAGCTTTCGCTTGCGGCCCGCGTGATGACGTTGAGCCGCTCCAGGATGGGCCCCGTGGTGGGGAGCGCTGCCTCGGTGACGGCCTTGGACGGAGCACGGTTGGCCTCCGCGCAGCTTCCCTCTCCCACAGTGCAGATATGGCCCTGCATCGAGGTCAAGGCCAGGCCGCATCATCTGGATTTGTGGGGGAGCTTTGAGCAATCAGCTTTTTATTTTTCCCAGCAATATCTAATCTCTACATTTGCAAAAGAAGAATTCCACTGAATTGCAACCTAGGCAGAACCGAGGAAGGAAATACTTCAAAGATTTCCTTCTTTATAACATCCTTGTTATTGAGTGCTTTTATTCTGCAGTCATGGAGGCCTTTGTACTGTGACACTGGCAGGCCAAAGAGCCAAGGTGGCAAAATAAACACAGTTCTGTCCGCCTCTGAAGAAGCTTGTGCCTCATCCATCAGTCATAGATCTGACCATAGTGATTCATACATTCCTGGCTCCAGCTTCTGTATTACTGCTCTCTTTGGAGCTCATTTTTTTAGGAATGAAGCTATGAAGAAAAATTACTGGCTTCCCGTTGAACATGATCCAGTTCAAGATCTGCGTAGGATTTGCTCTACCTACTTGAAAGGTTTCCTCGTTTCCGTCTCTGCGTTGTCTCCGCTGGAACGTGGCAGGACTGGCAGCCAAGTCCCCAAGGCAGCACTTAGGCTAGGGGACTTCTGAGGGTCGCAGCGGAGGCCGTGTATTTCTGCTGCTTCCAAAGCGAATGCAAACTAACTTCTTTGTTTCAGTTCTCCACAGTTTCCAACCCATATGCACATGCAATTAATTAATGTTAATTCCCCAACAGTTTGCAAAAAGATAAAGAATTTCAACTTTGGGGTAATTTGTCCTCTGATGATGCAGATAAGCAGAGCAGAAAGGGCTGTGATAAAGGAGAAGAATGATCTTTCCTGAAGTATTAAGTGTTAGGAAACATTGATGGCCTATTCTGTACAGTCCAAAGTGCATTTACACAAAAAAGGTGAGGCAGTAGTGAGACAACATTGCATGCTCTGCTACAGAAGCTAACATACAATTGAGGAAATAAAGGAGTGCCATGACAAAATGGGGATAAAATACACTTAAAGGCTGAATTTACAAGAAATGCTTACTATAGGTATTACAAAGGAGACCATAAACATTTTCTAGTCTTAGAGAGGACTTACTTTCTGCTTATGTGGAGGTGGTTGTAACCCCGGTGAATTTTTGAAGGAGGACATCTAAATAATTAGCTCTGCAGATTTTGAAGAAAATAGCATAAGATGCCATATTTATTATATGCAAAAAGAGTGAACATGTTTCAAATGCAAATTTAAGACTTGTAATAGAATTAATCCCACAACTGAGGCAGAATATTTAAGACCAGCCCCTTATGTCTCTCAAGAAGAGATTAAAAACTCAGTGTCCATGTCAAGCTTGAAAGTGTTTTGTGTAAAGATGGTTCTTTCTTGCAATTCTGATCTTTTACCAGGCTTTTGATTTCCATTCTCCAAGATTCAGTATAACTATTAATTGTTTTTTCAAGTTTGCTCTCACTGAAACGTTAATGTTGGAAACCTGTAAGAGAAAAGAGTATTTGCTTCCTGTTTCTTATTTGCTTGTCAAATTTAAGATGCTTTTAAAGACTCCCTTTCAAGCAAATGCAGGCACTTCTGCTCTCCTGACAGTAAATGCTTGTGAGGGTTAATTCCACAGATGTACGCATGTATCCCTGCTGAATTTCCAGTGCAACAGAATTGATTCATGTTTACATGCTTACATGAATGTTTAATGTACATCCAAGCACTTCAGCACCAAATACTAGGGTAATATTTTAATGAATTAAAAACTGCAAAACATAGTTTGATTCAAGCCTGATGATACAATATTGCCATTTTCTTAAGAACTGATTGCTCCTCTCCTTAGTACTTCCTCAGTAACAAGCAGTAGTGACCCTTCCTGCTTTCCTCAAGAGGGAAGAAAATCCGACCTTCTCATTGTGTCTTACTTTTACATTAAATTTGAACTTAAAATCATATGATAGCATTATAGGTTTTATCCAGGATGTGGAGGAAGTTAGTATAACAACTGCTTGCATTAGTTATAAATAGCAATAGCGCTTGTTTGGGAGCCTGACTGAACCCCATAGGTAATCCGTTGTCACAACCAATTATCATTTACGTTATTGGTGGGCATGAATTAAAGATTCCTTACTGTCAGAGTGAATACAGTTTAAAGACAGAACATAAGGGCAGCAAAGAACAAAGTCTGCTCTGCTAGGTATTGGTCAGGGGAAGGAACAAAGACATTACCTGAAAGAGCTTGCATGGAGAATGCTGCTTACTTAAGGGATTAATGAGAGGGACACAACATGGCCAACATGCTCTTGGAGATCATTTTTCCCTTAAAAATATTAAGATGAGGTTTTGATAGGGATTAGCTAAGTGCAGAGGTGGAGAGATGAGCAATTGAGGAAGGGAAAAGAGAGGTGGTAAAAAGGAGGGTGCTGGGGGACGAGTGAAATGGAGATGAGGGAAGGGGCTGCTTGGAAGTCGATGAGAAGTAAAAGCCAACTGAGGGGAATGGAGGAAGGCCCAGAGCTAAAATCAGAGTGCAGCATAACTATGTGCTACAGGTCAGAGGGTCCCTGCTGCTTCGTGTGCCCTTTTGGCTGTGGGGTGTCTTGTGTGTTGTTTTTTTTCCACCCCTTCTCTCTGCCTTTCCTTTCTCCTTGGTGGCGTGGGGGGGAACGTGCCGTGGTGACGGCTGAGAGGTGCCCTCACACGGTGCTTCCACGCCAGCTCGCTACAGCCAAGGATGCCTCAATAAGCTGCCTGGACCTGACACTATTCCAGCTACTTCTAGCAGTTAGCTCTTTGGAGTCGGGATCCCATTTTATCCAAGTCGCTAAAGAAGAAAACTATTCTGACTTCTTTTTTCCTTTCCTAAAAACATTTGTATATTTCAAAATAAAGTTCAGACAAAGTTACTGATGTACATTTAAGTTTATTCACAGCATGTGCAGTAGCTCCAGCAGCGATATCATATTTAGTGAAAAGATTAACATGTGTCGTCACTGTTTAGGCTTTTCACTCTAAAGGTATTCTTTCCTTTTAGTAATCCTTTAAAATATAAGCAGAATGTAAAATTAATTTTACAAATTTTGTGTTAATAGGTAAGCTTTGGACCAGAAGTATGAAGGTTGCTTACAATATCCTACATAAATTAGGCACAAAACAAGAACCAATGGTACGACCAGGAGACAGGGTAAGTACCTCCATGACTTTTAATCACTAATAATTAAAATAAAATGTTGATGAAGTGAGGACAACGTATCTGGGGTGCTCAGTGGATACTAATGAAGTAATATGGTGGAGGATGAAATCTGCCGTCTGCTAAGAAAGAAAGCTCATCCTTCAGACACATGTTGAATTGCACAATAAATAATGATTTGGAACTTGCTGAATAGTATCTGGGACTTGTCGCAACATCAATGATAAACTTTCCCATGGAAAATGATTTTTGGACATAGAGAGCGGTCGGTTTAGCATAAACTTGCTAATAGAGCCTGGAGGTGTCGCATGGGCAAAACATGCTTGCTAATGACCTTGTAGTTGTTGAAATGGTGGATATAACAGAAGCATTATGGAGGACAAAGACAAACTAAGCACATTTTGGTAACCAATTCAATAAATAAATAATGCTGATTGTTAATGTTGTTCTTGACTGCGATTCAGCAACCGCTAGTGGCTAACTCTAGGTGAACAGGGAGAGGAAGGTTTGGAGAACGAACACTTCCAGCTGCTAAATCAAGGCAAGAACAGATTAGGGCTGTGCACTCCAGAGGGGCCTTACTAGTTTACATTCCTACCCCTTCCACCAACACGTTGGCTGAACTTGCTCCCCTCGTGTTACAGGCCCATGCCAGATTACACCATTCCACAAATTGCCACAGTCCTCATTCCAGGCTGGCCTTAGACCACGGAGCACATTACAGATTCCGGGAGATTCCAGAACTGGATACTCAGATATGCATCAATCTGTCAGAAATGCAAATTTTAGTCGTGCCCTGGTGATGAGAGGTTTGAGACTACGGCTTTGTCTTGTGGTGCTTGGTAGCAGTTCCTGGACTGCTGATTCACTTGGTCCTCTTGCACAACATGTAAGAAACGTGTCTGTTTAGGGTACACATTTCTTAGGGCTTCAAAAACGAGAGCATGCAATTAATGCTTCCCAATAAAGAAAGAAAAGGAAAAAAAAAGAAATCAAGCCATACAATCTTTCCTATATCTCTTTTAGAAATAAATTATGAAGAATTTAACTACAGATGCTCTAGATACTTAATCTAAATTGCTTCCTACAGTGGCATTTAGCCAGGAGTGAGATCTAAAGAATCTCTTTTACTTGATTTACAACAACGTAGCTAAGCAACAGTAGAAGAAACAAACTGTGCAAGTATATACATCAAAAGAATTTACCCAGAAAGCTGTAAAAGGAAGAAAGTTCAGAAATGGGCAATATGTGTGTGCCTATCTCTCTTTCTATTGTGTATCAACTGCCTGTCTTCGTATTAATTTACTTTAGCAAGCACTGACATCTCCTAACATTAAGCGATGATTTTTGGGCAATTCAGAGTGCAAAACACACATAGAACCTATTGCCATTCTTCTGAAATAAATCCTTCTAGATTATAGTGAAAAAAATGTTTATAGTGGAGTGCTGAAAGCTTATGCTTTGCATTGTAAAAACATATTGCTTAGCATCTCTGTGTAACAGAAACATGATCATTTAAAGCAACTTCATGCAGAAAATGAGGTGTTACTGTACATCTGTGTTCCAGGCAGTTATTTTGCTCACTCTAAAAGCTTTCTGACCTCTTTGAAGAAGGTTTTCTATTCTAAATAATGTGGTTTGCGTGACAACAGTTAAAGGTGGTTTTAAAATAATAAATAAAATTCATGTGGATATTTGTGGTCTTTTCTAAATGAGAGCGAAATTGTTGCCTTGTGATAATGCTATCTAAAATTCAGAAAGGCATTTTCTCCTTTCAAAGCATTTTCTGTCTATTCAGTCATTACTATTTTTGCATTGCTCCATATTTCCTTTGTCTGAGTTAGAAAGATAGTGAATGGACCTGCATTTGATTCCCTAATTCCAATGTAACTGTAGATCACCAAGAACTGCTTTTGCCTTTTATAGTGACTTCAGAAATTTAACCTTGGGTCACCTCAGACAGCTGCCTGGAAACTAAGCTTGTCCTCTAAAATACTTCTAAATAAGCAGATTCTCATCTGGTAATATACACCATATAGTTTGTTTTCCTTCTGCCTTACCCTTTTTTTTTCCTTTTACACAAGTTACTCACAGTACTGTATTTACTTACAGTCCTGTTAAGTGATTAATGATTTTCAGGGAGGAAGTTAATGCCTTATTCCCACTGGACTTAAGTGAGAGTTACTCATCTCTCTCAGCTGCTTTGAAAAGACTCCCGGCCAAACCAACAAACTCCAACAGTCCTCGAGGTATCTTTGGGAATCTTTCAGCATATCTTACAGATGTTTGCTGGGTTCAGTAAATCCTGCCATGCCCTCACTGCACTTGGAAGGATCCCTTTCTTTCCAACACCCTTGAGCCTATTGATGATATGTGCATAAAGAATGTATACAGACAGCTCAAGCAGTCCTATGTGCTCATGCGCCATCACAAATAAAGTAGGAATGTGTTTTTTCAAAGTGTTTTCTCTAGATTTCTCCAAAGTTACAGTCTTCAGCTTAAAGATACTCTGATTCCCTTGACACAATTGGTTTGGGGATTTTCTAATTTGAAGAAATCAAGCTACTTTAACTTGTAGGAGATTATGGTGTTTGAAACTATGTGAAAACACTGAAAACACTTTTAATCTATGGTAACTGAACCTTGGAGCATACATGGAACATGGGTGTTTTTATAGACATAGAAGCACACAAGTATTACAGATGTCAAATCAGTCAAAACTCAAGACTTGTAGATTTAGCAGTTTTTAAGATGCCATAATAATACACTGTGATCCTGCATGGAAGCCCACAGGAATTAAGGCGAGAAGCTATTCACAGTGCCTGCCACTTCTTGCATGCCACTTCAGTCAGCCGTGTGAAACAGTCACCAGCTGTATGAAGACATGAGTTGAGAAAATGCTTCTGTCTGAACCCAAATAAAATTTAGACAAGGATCTAGCCACTGAAGTCGTTAACTAAAAATTGACTGTTAGTATTCCCTGCCCTTGAAGGAAGAGGAGTGGACTCCAGTGGCCAGATTCTCAGTTTGACAGTGTTCTCCTTCTTTGCCCCTGGAGGAGCTAAAGACATTTCTCGCAGTGTCCATAGGCATAAGCTGGATATCTCAGCACATTTGGGGAGGAGGAAGGGCACCTAGCGAAGATATGGGGGATTTACTGTGATGTTTCGTCTTCACTTGAAGTTCTGTCTGTCAAAGCTGCCAGCCCCAGCCCTAAAGCAGTGGAGTTTAACAAATCCAGCATAATATAATTACCAGCTCTGGAGGTGATCTTTGCTGTTCCAGATATCAATTGTTCGTGAAACATCTACACTTTGACAGCAGTCTAATCCTAAAGTAAAATTCTCTTATGAGACAAAGCATAGGAAGACAAGAAGTAATGTGTGAATGATTGACAAAATGAATTTGGGCACAGATCCACTTTGTTTTCAATAATTTTAAGCAAATTATTAAATTAGAATGTAAAAATTCTGTTAATTCATTTATTTTGATATTTCATACCTGTAAAGTAATTAGTAAATGGAGACTCAGCTGAAAGGTATTGTCAATGTAGAAAACGATGCAGCATGAAAATATTTAACTATAGTGAAAATTTCCTTAGTGAAAATGTTCACAAAAAAGAACATCTACCAGAATAATTCCTCCTGATTTCTCATCCATCTGTCATTAGGTATTTGAGTACTTTTCATAGAATTGTTTCTATTATAATGTCTCTGCAACAAGAAAGGCAGAAACTTCATTTATTGTTAGCTGAAATCTGCAATTAAACATGCACTGCAAAAAATACTCAAAATATCTCTTTCTTACAGGTAACACTTGTCTTTCCTAACAACGATCCTGCTGCTTTTATGGTAGCATTTTATGGCTGCCTCCTTGCGGAAGTTGTCCCTGTCCCTATTGAAGTGCCACTTACGAGAAAGGTAGGGAACTGAATTTCTCCTCTATGCTGCGCTTAAAAACTTAGGTCAGGATGGATCAGAACTGAGCATAACTCTTGAGTACATTTCTGTGGCTAAGTAGTTCTAGAATTGAACATACAAAGACAGTGCCGTGCGGTGAGTTATATATAGTTTCTTCTTTTTTTGTGATGGAAAATCTCAAGCTGTGCTTCCAGTTTCAGCAAATGCAAGTCTGTCTGGAAAAGGCAAAGAGAAGGTATCAGCTCTGCTACGCTTAGATGGGTTATCTCTGTCGTCCCTCAGAGCCGTCTGATGTTGGCCACTGACAACGAATCAGTGGCAGCTGCTGTTAGATTCCCCACCTGTTCCTCACGCCAGGCTGTGTGAGGTGCCGTGTAGACCACGTGGAAGCCGTCGTGGAAGGGCCTCCTCCTGCATGTGTGGGAGGAGCCGGAGCTTCTGTCACTGCTGCCATCTCTGCCAAGGGTGGCGCTTAAGCAAAATCAGTTGGGGAATTCTTGCCACAGAGCCTAATTCAGAGCCAAATCTGACTGTCACTCACCAAAAGCATTTCACAGGCAGCTCAGAGTTTGACCGTGTTTCCCAGGAAGGTGGGAGCAGCTACAGCAGTCTCGGCCTGCAAAAATGCTGGGGCGATGAGGACAGGAGGCCCAAGCTGGTGTCTTTTACTAAGGCATTTTTTCTCTGAATGTGTATCATTAAGGCTAGAAATACAGCAAAATGTGGTTTTTTTTCCATTGAAGTCCTTTTTTTTTTCTTATCCCTTTAACTGCACCACAACTTGGCAGCAATGCCAGTTCTGAGGTTCTCCAAACCTCCTCAATCCTTTTTTTTCCTTTTATTAGCTATCACTAATACGGCCTTACTTTTAATTGTTTGGGCTGGAACTGTCCAGGCAAGAAGAGTATTTTAATCAAAATCAGCTTTCTTCTTTAAAGGAAATTCTTCTGGAAAACGTTGGCTGAAGTTTTCACTTATTTCCAAGAAAATGCCTGGGGAATGTATTGCTTTGCTCACATTAAAGATTTTGAAGGACTTTCCCTTGAAATGCTCGGGTGCCACAGCGCACCGGAGCAGAAGCTCAAATCCATGCCTCGTAGACAGGGACCCTGCCACTCAAATGAAGAGCCATGAAAGCTCAGCCAAGTTTCTATGCCCTCAGAAAGCCTTTGCAGTTTGCACATACTCAAATAGAAGTTCAGCAGCTAAAAATACCTCGAGATTCTTTCTCAACTGAACAAACTTGAACCTTTCTCATCTCTTAACACTTGCTGGACTCAGTCTCTTGCCATGGGTGAAATTAAAAGCTTTTGGGGAGAAAAGTGGTAGATACTCAGTGTTAGACATGACTGTAGAATGAAGATAAGGATTTTAGTAGAAACATAGTGCATTTGCACTGAGCTGTCATGCTTTCACATGTGACTGCAGTATCTTAAGACAGTTTGATGTAATTGCTGATATAGTGCATTATTTCTACATAAAATAGAAATTTTAAGTGCATCAACAAAAGGCAAGTTGAATTTGTAAAAACATACAGAAGAATCACGTGGATATGTCTGCTTTCATTGTACAAAAGAGAAGCAAGAAAACTTCTAGGCGTAAATAACTGTCTTTTCCTGTTACATATTTTCCAAGGCTTAATGGCGTATTAAAGCAAAGGAAAAAGTATAAATTGCATTTGTTTTAGAGCATCTGATACTACACCTATCTTATAAACCATAAAGTCCATCTGTCTGAGAAAAAAACTTAAAGCAATTTAATATCTTAATTTGGCTGAGCCTTTTCATTTTTAAAATATGTATATGTGCATATATTTATTATACATTTAAATATATATAACAATATATGTCATATATATTTTATATATAAATACATACCCTTGTGTATATTTATGTATATATTTATACGTAGACATAACTCTAGATTTAGATTTAGATGTTTAAATATTGCCAAAATAATTTAATAATATTTAAATATCAAATTGATAAAACAATAACGAAGGCATCAGTGGTATAGTTAAAAAGCAACACAATCTGTGATCTGTGAAAATAAAACTGTGCAATCTCGGCGCATTTACTATTGGAAATATTTCTGCACTTGTTTATGTGGAGCAGGAACTGGAGTGGAAGCAATAAGATGAAAATCATGTTCTGTGAGCAGTCCCAGAAGGAAAACCTCTGCTTGGTCAAATGGGAGCGGATTGCTTCTGGCAGCCGTGGGAGGATGTCACTCGTGTCATCCCACAAAGGCCCAGGCTGTTCTTTTTGCTTTCCCATTATTTGTTCTCTCTTCTACATGCTTCAGTAAATCCTGGCAATGTACATTTTTTGGTCTGCTTTCAGAACACAGAGATGTGAACCAACAAATAGACCAACTTTAGTAGATTATAGGCCAATATAGACCTACAGAATAACAAGATGAAGGAGAGAAACTAATTCAGGAAACACAGTTTTAATGCTAAAAAATTACATTAATTAGATAACCTTAAATCTGTTTTACAGTTCCATAAATAAGAGTTTTTCACAGCTCTGTGCTAATTGTTTCTGACAGGTAGTTTAAAACTGAACAGTGGTTATTTGAAGCCAGATTCTCTTTTGGCTTGCATATTACAGGGCATCTATATACATACTAAAGTAAAAGGTATTTTGTTTTGTTTTGTCAGCCCATGATTTTGCTCATGTTCTGTATTCTCCATATCATGACCGTAATATTTTTAGATTTTGGTAGAGTTTTTTCAGGTTCATTATTGGATGACAGTCCATCTCTTCTTGCTCTTTCTTTCTATATTGCATCTTTGTGTTAACCGAATACCTGGAATTAGTTGTCCTTTCCCAGAGCATGTCAGGAGACTTGTCTGGCAAGCAGCCGTATGGGGTAGGTTGACAGAACTCCCAGAAATCATTCAACATTCTTCAGTTTTGCTTTATTCTCAGAATATTACTGATGATAGTAAAAATCTGGAATTCTCTGTCATGGATGTGTTTGGCTCCTTAGACTCAAGTCCATATCTAAATTATGAAACTGAAAGCACAGTTTCTTTGAAGTACATCAAAACTAACTCTTTATTGGCGAAGCAGCAATCAGGTTCCACAGCTACTGCAACAACAGAATAAACAGCACATTTTATCTCATTTTCCTTCTCTGCATTAACGCTATGGAAATCCCTCTAACGTGAGCACTCCCCAAATGTTTCGTGACTAATCCTCATGCCTTGGATTATATTCTTTTACAATGGTGTTCCTCTCCCCAAATACCTTATTTATGTTTTCCAAGCATTGGTAAATAGCTGCAGTCACTTCTCAGCACGTTCTGTGCAGCATCTCTTCCTTCAGAACTGTCAGCTGCTGTTAATCGGGTAGCGGCACGACGCAAACTGTGAGCTGTAGATGGTAGAATGGGCCCTCAAAGCCTGGTGCGTGGTGGGTAGGGGATTTTTGACAGTTGAAGTTCTTCTTCACAGAGTGAGTTCCCATTTGCCTTATGAGAAGATTTTTAAAAATACGTTTTTTATTTCTTTTTCATCATATTGCTGGTAGAATGGGCCCTCAAAGCCTGGTGCGTGGATAAAAATATGTTTTTTATTTCTTTTTCATCATATTGCTGAGGGTATTAATGATTTTTTCCCCTTTCATGAGCAGGATGAATATAGTTATTCTCTTCTGATACAGGCAGGAGATTGTAATCTTAAAAATAACATTTTTGTTCTCACAGCACATTTGTAGTCATACTCAATCACATGCTATGGATATAAAAAAAAAGGGATCTGGGATCCTTGGTTATGATAAAGGTGATTGATAAAGATTTGTAGCATGCTATGACAGGCAAGCATATAAAAACCTGTTTTCTCTATCAAAACCACTTTTTCCTGGCTTGGAGCGTTTAATACTGTGTGTCCTTCTGGAAGCACTTCTACTTTCTTCCAGATGTTAGCACTAACAGCACCTTTGGAAGAACGTACATGGGTGTTATCAGAGGCAGCTTTCAGATGTACACTCTAGGACACTTCTTTTTTTAAAAAAAATATAAAAATAAAAATGAACACTTCATATTTCTCAAGGATAAAAACTTTTTCAGGAAAGGTTTTTTTATTAAATTTTGAGAAGTTATTAAAGCTTTAGCAGCAGCTAGAGAGCGATGTCTTTTTTTCCCAGACGGTGAAATTGTCTTGGTGTCTCTTCCATTTGAAGGCAGCACTGTAATTCCCTAGGAAATACACCTTGACACCCCTTCCTGCTGCTCAAACATTTTCAGCAAGTGAGATGAAATGAGCCTTGTTTCCTCTTGGTTTTAGTTACTATTGTGCTGTACCTGATGATACACTGACAAATATAAAATATTCCAGAAACATGGAACAAATGTACATACATTTTATTTTTACATTTTCAAACCTAGGAAATGGTAGATTCCTCAGGGACATACCCCATTTTATCCTGTGTCTCCTGCCAAAAATAACTGTTGCCTTGCTTGCATTAAGACTTGTGGTCATTAAGGCTGCTCATAGGATTTCACATGCAGATGATTGCCAGAGAGCAAAGCTATGGCTGGTTAGACATCTGACTCCCTCCTTTTAAACCTGGTTGTGAAAATTGCGTCTGCTTCATATTTAATTTTTATTAAGGTCTTTGATTCTTGAGGTTTAAAAAATGAGGGTTTCCTTGGTTCCTTTCTGCACGTGGTCCCAGAGTGCTGAGCTTTCTATCTGATGCTTGGCCTATTTGTCTCTACCAGAGAAGTTTTATTCAGGACGAATGGGCTCCCATCAGGGCTGTCCCAGCAGCGCGGATTAGTGCCCTGCCTTGTCACCTCGCTCTCGTTGTTAAATCAGCCTGCGCTCCAGGAGTGCGCAGGAGTAGCTGTTATCAGCCCAGCCCTTGCACAGGCCACCTCTTCCTTCCTTCCTTGCTAGATAAGGACGCTCTCACGCGTGGAGGAAGCATCTGACTTGTTGTTCTTGCCTTAGCCACTCACACAAAGCGTCAGAAAAGTGATTTTAACTAAGTGTCAAAATGCAGCCACACTTTTTTTTTTTTTTAATCCTAACAATGAATTATCGCGCTCTGCAGCAGGAAGACGACAACTTGCCTCCCGGTCCTAGTGAAAACCTTTAGGGAACCTTTAACAAAAGTCTTTAGAGAGTCTTGAATAACTACCTGCAGCAGGGAGGATTTCCAACTCGGTTCATTGGAAAGATTGATCTCTTTAGGTGTGTGCAGGCCTTATTTATCGTACCCCAGCAAGTGCTCTGCCTTCAAGGGATGCAAAATGCTGTTTCCAAAGGCAGTGCTTGGTCTCAAACCTGATGCCACGATACTATTACTTCCTTGGACCTGCGTTAGGCGGCATTTCAAACCGTGGTAGGTGTGTGTCACAGGCAAGGTTACCCCTAGCTCTGCAGGGTCTGGGTGCACTTGGGCTCTGCTCCAGCCCGACGTTTCTTCCAGCCCCGTGAGATGCTGTGAGGTGAAGTGGTGGTGGAAACTGGGTTGCACGGGAATGTGATTTTATATTTGGGGAGAATTTGATTTTTTGTTTTCAACAGCAGATTTTTTTCTTGCTTTCTGCTTTTCCACGTCTGGACCAATGCTTTTAGACCACCAGAAAACTTCCAAAATTGAGTTAAACATTCTCCTTCCTTGAGAACCTCCTTCAGTTGAGGGTAGGTCCTCAACTGAAACTCCAGTGGCTGTTATGAGCTGTGCGCTATCACATTTAGGCATCTTGGTTTGCTTTTCTCTTGCAAAACAGGATTTAATGTGGGCATCAAAGGCATGAAATAGGATTTGAAAGTCTATGAAAGACATTGCAATTTGTCTGTGCTTGCTGGAGTTTTTCTAATCTTTTCTGGTGGTGTTTCAGCACGCAATTGTTTAGCCGTCTTATCCTTACAAATGGAAGAAACTGTGTAGAATAAAGAATGGTCTGAAGTTTTTAATACTATTTGAAATGGGGTTGTCATGAAGTAAAAAGGAGCATGTTACTAGATTAGCTGATGTGTGGATAGATTGTATTAAGTAAACTATACATGATTCTGCTCGTGTGTGGAATACTATAAGTAAATGAATAATTTTTAAGCCTACACGCTCTAAACCAGTTGATATGGCATTAAGCAGAAACATAATCATTCTTCCTTGTGTAATCTAGAAAGCCCAAACTGTTAGTATCAGCTTTCCTGCCCTGTTGTTCTGTTTTGCTATGAGAAGAGCTTGTCAGAGCACTTCCTGACGGATGCTCTCCCCTGGGCTGGGATGTGCTGATGCCCTCAGCTCTGCGCTCTCCACCAGCTTATGCTGGGTGTCTAAATGCAGTTTGTTAGGAGAGTTTCTGCTTGTAAAGTCCAAAATTACTTGGGACTTTGTTGCCTGAAAATCTGTGTTTTCTTGGCAGTGGCAAAGCAATTTTGTTAGCAGCCTTTTATATACGCTTTTAGCAAACTTTTAATTTTCACAAAATGATTGAGGCTGGGAGGAACCTCTAGAGATCATCTAGTCCAACCCCCCTGCTCCAGCAGGGACACTCAGAGCACATGGCACACGGTGACATCCAGATGGGTTTGGAAGGTCTCCAGTGAAGGAGACTCCACAACCTCTCTGGGCAGCCTGTTCCAGGGCTCTGTCACCCTCACAGGAAAGAAGTTCTTCCTCATATGGAAGTGGAACTTCCTGTGTTTCAACACAGGAATATTAATTTTAATTTAAATTTGACAGCAGGTTGCAGTTCCTGCATTTGAATACCATTTTTTTGATGGTAGATATAATAGATAGGTAGATGCCTAGGGGAACATACATCACTAAGCATTTTTGAGATTAAATAGAGGAAGGGGTAAATTAAGTATTGGTTAAATTGGATGATTTAGGAAGTTGGTGATCTCCCTTACATGTAGCTGAGCATCTGGTCTCAAAGGCTGTGATGAGGAGCGATTTTCTTTTCCCGTTTACAAAAAAAATCATAAAAAATTGGTCAGATTTGCTTTGAGGTCTTCTTTCCATTATACTATTCTGCAGTGAATAAGTGAACAACTGTAATCTATTTTTGGTCACCTCCATGGCTGCCTGTGCAACTACAGTTGATTTGAAAGACATTTTAATTTAGATGGGATTTTTGAGACTCTGACAGCTATTTTCTGTAGAAACATTTGACAAGGAAGGAGTTAATACTTCTGTGCAGATTTACATCTAGGGTTTTTCTCTGTTGAAGAGCCTAATGGATAGATGTAAAGTTCATGAAAGAATCATGGCAAGACATTGGATGTAAAGTAGACATAATGCTGTGGGAGCAGACAACTGTGGCCTAGACTTGAAAATCATTAAATGACATTTTAGCCTCACTACCTATATCCCCTTGATGAAAGTAAACCATAATGCACTTTCTTTAATGGGCACTTGACTATCTATCTTGCTCTTGGAATATGTCAACAACGAAGAGTGATAGTGTGAGCACTGTGTGCCCATCATAACCAGGAGGCCATTTCAAAGGTGAGAGCTTTCTCCAGCCTGAAGCATCTATAATTCAAATTATTTCCTAGTTGTCATTTCTAAGGGCATGAGGGAGAGGAAGTCATCTGATTTCTTTAGTTCTCTTTATGATTTATACTGTTACAGACCAGAAAACATGTAGGTTATGGAATTGCTTTATCAATGTACAAATTGGTTTTGCTAATAAGTTAAGTTGCTTGAAGGAAAGAGACTGTTTTCCTCCAAAGATATTGTGCTAACAAATAAAAATCTGTGCAGCCTGGAGCCACTTTTAATCAATTTTATGCATTGCTTTAGGACGCCGGAAGCCAACAAATAGGTTTTTTGCTTGGGAGCTGTGGCGTTACTGTGGCCTTGACAAGCGACGCATGCCATAAAGGACTGCCTAAAAGCCCCACAGGGGAGATACCCCAGTTTAAAGGTAAGCTACCCTTTGGTCATCATGGCCCAGGCGTTGCACGTGTAGCTCACAACAGCCCCGTTCATCCCATTTGTCTCCTTTCAGCGAGGTTAGACACGAGGTTGAGCTTCGCTGGGGCAAGGACCTTGGGGAACCACTTGCCACAGGAGCAGCCCTGGCTGCTGCGGGGCTGCTCCCAGCCTTAGTTCACTGCTTCGCTATCAGGAATTCCTGTCTCCCCTTTTCCAGCTTCCGGGGCTCCTCGTGTAGCTCCCTGCCCGCTCAGCTGGCACCTGAAGTACCTGAGGTGGCAGCAGGATTAAGACTCTGGGAGTCAGTGAGAAGCATTTGTGTGATTCAGGCCTGGAGCTTAGTGCTGGGGTTGGTAACCTCTGATGGGAGAGCAGTAATAGGAGAGTAGTAATAAACTATTTAGGTCAATAAGAGCTTAAACCGCACAGCCATTTCTTCAGGGATTGCCTTAGAAGGCTTCGGTCTTTGGTAGCAGTGTTAAGAAAGCAGTCCTGTAAAGTCTCCTTTTCTCACACGATGCTGAGGATTAAAAGAAGCAATGTTAAGTAATGGTGACACACAGGCATTTGGGCCGAAAGAGAAAGCTTAGGCAGACAAGAATTTTATCTTGACATATCCAGCAGAAGCTCAACAAAAGCTGACTTTCCTTTGCGACCATTTCTCAGGCTGGCCAAAGCTGCTGTGGTTTGTCACGGAGTCGAAGCATCTCTCTAAGCCGCCTCGCGACTGGTTCCCACATATCAAGGATGCAAACAATGACACAGCTTACATTGAGGTGAGTTAATGAAGACACATCTTCTCCCTGAATCATTGCATCTGGCACTTCTGGATTAGATAAACATAATTACTCATTCCCTGGTTAGAGAAGCAAAGAACATCCTGTTTTAGCTTACTAACAAGCAATATTTTCTAATAAATGATACTGTGTATTGATTTCAGAAAAGGTAATGAAATGTTAAATTGCATTTTGGGAGTTCTAACAGTAGTGTTTTTATGTCATCTAACAGGTTGAAGCAATATTATTTTAAAATTGACCAATTTAGGTATTGTTTGTGTTGCGGGTTTGCAAACTAGCCATGAGAAAGACAGCAAGTTTCAAAAAGAAACTTCAGCTCTCACAGGAAAGGCTCTTTGAAAGAGAAGGAACTTCTTGTTGCAAGGCTTACTGGTCACTAGTTGCTTCGAGGGTCACACTCCCTCCTGAAAGATTAGCACCAGGAAGGAAAAGCAAGCAATCCTGTTAATTGTATTTTTCTCTTAATTATCTTTCCTTCCTTTCCTCCCACTTCTCCTCCCGCTTCAATTCAAATGTCTTAAATTCAGTGATCCTTGTACTGAATTTAAATGATTGTTCAAAGGTAGTAAGTTCAGAGGAATGGAGCAAAGACATTTCCTATCTTTTCATGGCCAGAACACTGAGTTAAAGAAGCAGAAATGCCTGCTTGCCAATCTTGCTAATTATCTTCATCATAATGAAAGATAAATGTTTAATTTACTTTAATTGCCACTAACCGTTTTCAAACTCTTGCATAGAGTTGCAAAAATTACCATAGTTATCAATGATGATTCTCCCACCTATTTTTCTTCTGTTGCTTTCTTATGACTTCTCCATATTCTTGCAGTCAAAGCAGCCCTTGTGTTTTTCATATTGCTTGAAAATAATTCCTATGCAGATTATTACAGCAGTACCAACAACGATTCTGCCAGCAGTCCTTATCTCATGCCATATATGACGCAGAAGGGAGAAGTTCAAGTTTATTCATTTGCCTATAAAATTTAACACATTAAAATGTGCACATTTTGCAGACTGAACTAGTTTTGTCTCTGCTAAACCTAACCAATCCATCAGTCATCAGCATGAGTAGAATTCTTGTAATTATTTTTCACCATGCCTGTAATCAAATAGCTGAGAGATTCCTGACATCAAGCTTGGCAAGCTTCAGTCAAAAAGAGATACAATCTGGGAGTAGTGTGTTTAAAAAAAATAAAAAATAAAAAGCCTCCCAAACTGCCTTCTTAAAATAGAGTCATTAAATGTGCCCATCTTTCACCTACACAGGAAACACTTTAACGGACGTTGACTCTTCCCTACTTACTTTTTTTTGTTTTAGTACAAAACCTGTAAAGATGGCAGTGTGCTTGGGGTGACCGTGACGAGGATTGCGCTGCTGACGCACTGCCAGGCTCTGACACAGGCGTGTGGATACACGGAAGGTATGCAGGACACTTCCCTGTCTCATCACTAAAATCCAGCGTGGAGTGTGGTTTGTTCCTCACCTGTCTTATGTTTCACAGAGATCTGTGTTAAAGGCTTCTAGATTAATTGTTTTTTTCACTGCTTTTGAACATGCACACATGTTTAAAATATCTTTAGGAGAAGTACCAAAGAGAAGACAAATAGCGTCCTAGCCAAGACAAATCCTGCAGTGGAGACTTACTCTGAAAGTTGAGTTTTGAGGTCATCAGTCATGTTCTACCGAAGTTTACTCTATTTCCTTCTTTGAGTGGGTTTGTCTTGAGCCAGTGCCATGCTCTAAAAACTAAACTGTGTTTTGTTTTTATTGCACAGCTGAAACAATTGTGAATGTATTAGATTTCAAGAAGGATGTTGGTTTATGGCATGGGATTCTTACAGTAAGTATGCTTTTCTTTTATTATTTTGTGTGAATATTTGAAAACAAACTAAGCTAATATGCTTATTGCCATCACAAGAGGATGCCCTAAGGTTTCTTCTAATACAAAATTTTCTGCTTTGAAAGCAAAAAATACCTGAATTACAAACCATGGCTCTTTGCTATTGCACTTACCCACAGTGATCGCAATAAAGATACCAGAGTGTTTAAATGCTTTATGTCAAGTACTCTGGCCTTATTTTCCCTATGTCATTCTGATCTTACTGATGTATATTTTTGAGATTGTACTTTATATAATAAACAAATCAAAAGCACTAGCACTTGCTTCTGTCAGAATGATCCAGTGGCACAGCTATGGGTGAGGTTCTCCACCTGTGAGACTTCTGGCCAATAGGTGCTTCTGTTCCACCACAGCTTTTCTTATGCTTTAAGTAGCATAAATTGTCTGTGTGCTGCTTGATTGTCTTCCCCAGTTGATAAGGGAGCCAGTTCATGTATTTCTGAAGGTGTTTTCCATAGGTGCCATGGCAGCTCATGTCTTACAGAGCGCTGTTCACTGTCACTTTAAGAATAGAAGTCAAGTTTTGAAGGGTCCCCGCTTTTGTTTGAGACTCTCACGTTGGATGGACCCTATATGCTGTGATTGCCAAGGAGTCCCTACACATTTCTCATGCAATATTATGCTGCCTCTAATATCAAAGGACAGTAGTAAAACTTCTGGGGCAGAAACAGTCTATTAGGGGATCATTTCCATTAATATATTACAGATCCAGCTCTATCACTTCTGTTGGAAGTAAATATCTGACAGAGCTTTCCTGTGGCTTCCTTTGCTGTTAGTGTTGGTCTGAACCTCCTCTGTTGCATGTGACTACTTTTCCTGTATCAGCACTTGTGCCAGACTGGAAAGGGAAGTATCTTTTGTGGTCTCCATCCTGCAAAGGTTTAGATATCTAATCCAGCAGAATTTTACCTGTGTCAGGAACTTGGTTCCTTAAGCCTGTTTTCCAAAACAAATGGCATTTAACCTGCTGCCCTAAGTAGAGATTGGTTACGCTCAGAATATGACTTTTAAGTGGTAACTGAGGCAAGGCAGCAGTTCATTTACAGGCAGCTTGTTCAGTTGTAATAAATGAGAAATTGCTAAAGCAATTGACTGCTTCAAATCAGGAGATTATCTTTTTGCTGCCACAGGCTTCACTTATTTTCTTTTCCTAACTTCCTGCAACTTTTCATAACCTTGTTAGGAAATATACTGAATTAACCAGCACTTGAACAGAAAAAAACCATTTATTTTCTGTTAAAATAAGTTGCTCCCTGCTTGATCTATGACTACACTTTCTCTACTGTCTGTTATTTTTTTCCCATTACTTTTAATAGTTTTCAATCTTTGCAAAGATTGGATTTCTTCAGACACATGTTGCTGTTATTTGTGCTTGTGAATCAAAAATATTCCTGTGACCTGGAGTATCTCAGACAGGGGGTTAATATCAACCTGTGCAGCAAACATGGGCATTGGTCACTCAAAAACTATGCAAACTCTTGTGTAATTTTTATATTTTTGCTATGTAAATAGCTGAAAGTATCAGTAGGAAGAAAATCTTTAATTTTTTTTTCGCTTCAAAGTTATGATCTGATCAGTCTATATCTTTATTCCTTAATTACAGCATTATAAAATTGTGGGTTCATTTCGTCTTAGTGAGAGTAGTTTGACAGGAAAAGAAATGCCCTCATTGACAATAAAACGAGCACAGAGCAACTAAGATAGATGCCTATGTCCATAACACAAATAAGTAATTTCTGTGATTACTGAGTAAAAGCCATTTATTTGATTTCATTCCAGAGTGTCATGAACATGATGCATGTTATAAGTATTCCATATTCCTTAATGAAAGTGAATCCGCTATCATGGATACAGAAGGTCTGTCAATACAAAGGTAAGGGGCAAAAATATACAAAGGAACATTTTGAAGTTAAAATCAAAAGGATGAATTCCTGATGCACTTTAATAAGCTGTAACTAAAAAAGCTTCAATATGGTATACTCGTAATCTTTCCATTCTCATTGTAGCAAAAGTTGCTTGTGTAAAATCCAGAGACATGCACTGGGCATTGGTGGCACATCGAGACCAGCGAGACATCAACCTTTCCTCCCTGCGCATGCTAATAGTGGCTGATGGAGCAAACCCATGTAAGTGAGGCCTCTGCAGCCCAGCAGAGAACAGGACCTGTCTTTTGCTCTTAAAGTTTCAATCCGCAGCCATATTACCTAAAATGCTTGTCAAAGTATAAGGTTTATCTACTGCAAATGACACAATTTATGGGAACAGTAATTAATTTTGGATTTTTTAAAATGTATTTTTCTTTAGCTAATCCTGAAGCAAACTTGATATTCCACACAACGTAAGTTGGAGTAAATCCAGTTTTGTTTAACATGACGACCATATGTAAAGACTGAAGTAAATAACTTAGAGCTGTAGAAAGGATCAGAACATTTGCTTCTGAATGATGGCACTCAGACGTAGAAGTAACTGAAAATTTGGGGGGAATAGTTATACTACTCTAGAGAACTGCATCGGGATCACTTCCTGGCAATTAGTAGTATGAACTCTTTCTCTATATTATTTAATACAGTGAAGTATAGATGTCCTGCTTTTTTATAGTGGCTTGCTAATTTAAATCTTTAATATGCCTCAAATAAAAAAAAATGAGATTCATGTTGTAAATCTATCAGCAATGGTTTTTCTGCATAAGCATAGTGAAAGGACTTTACGCTCCAAAATGAATCTTTATTCCCTAGTGTTTACACAACTCTATATATATATACACACACATATATATAGTTATAACAAATATGATTTATTTCTCAGTGTCGTATAGGTCCTTTCTAAACTTTTTGTCCTGAAAAGCCTATATGTGCTTTAACTATGTCTGCAGTTTGAATAGCATCACTTCAGAATTCAGGTTTATTTCTCTCCTCTGATGTTTTTTTCCTTACTGCAGGGTCTATTTCTTCCTGTGATGCATTTCTCAATGTCTTCCAAAGTAAAGGTCTCAGACAGGAGGTCATTTGTCCCTGTGCTAGCTCACCAGAAGCTCTCACTGTGGCCATTCGAAGGTACTGTTTTACAAGAGCTCAGTTAAACAAACTGTGGATTATCTATGGTAATTTGAAAAGAAATGAAAAAAAATATTCAAGATTGAATATGCACACTTAATTTCTGAATGGCACTTTTTGCTTTCATTACGTTTGTGTCCAAAGAAGACATACAAGCTGAATTTGGAGAATAATGATTTAGCTTCAGAGTACTTCATAACAAAGCATCCACTTCTGTAATATTGTCTAATTTTAAATGAAACAGATTAAAGTGCAAAAGCTCATTCTGTAAAAAGACAAGGAAAAAATGCCACCATAAGCATAAAATTAATTAAAATGTGGGAATTTAAATAGAATTGCTGCAGAGGAAATTCATACTTTAAAATACTGTGCTTAAATAGAATTATGACATTTGCGGGAGTTTTTTTGGCTAACTGTTGCTTCTTAACCATTTATAGGCTTTCAGTAGTCATTGGGAAGTTTAAGTCTGTGGAATTTGTGCCTAAAAAGGAATTTGATAAACTCTAGTAAAACCACTTAAGGCTTATGTACATGATGTCAATATGAAGCAGTCACCTGTCCCGAGCATCATGACACACAGTAAATTACATAACTGCTGTCTGTATTGGAAAAATTGTGCCAAAATTTTCCCTTGAATAGTTGGTACTTTGTTTTTATGTTTGGATTCCTATAGCCATAATAATTTTTGCACATGTTAAAACTTGCAGTATAAAGCTATAAAGCGCTCCAATAGTATTAATAAAACACTTCCCGCCACAAGTTTTAAACTATAATGTCAAGTGAAAATTAGCTTGATTTTCAATTAACTTTCCAACAAGACATCACAGGAAGAAAGACACAAGCCAAGAATGCCGTTATCTTTCAGGCATTTCATTATTAATTTTAGAAGTCTGAAAATTATCCATCAGTGACTCATCCTGTCCAGGTTAGTCTTTCTTCGTAAACTGCACTGTCTTAGGTAGCACTTAGGTCAGCTCTACCAGCCTCAAACCATTTTTAAATTAACAAGCATTGAGAGCTTACATAAAAAAGATATTAGCACATAAAATAGCTGGTGATTCAAATAAAAAAGTCTTCAGTGCCTCACTATGTAATTGCAAAGCTGTTCTTACTACCATGAACATTATTGAATATGTACCTTTCTGTAAAGTCTGTATAATGGTAGGATAATACCAGTGGAACTTGGAAGCTTTAGTATTTTTTATTTTACTCAAGCCATCTCCACTGACAGTAAAGTCATTATCATACACGTTCCAAAGAGTTACAGCTGAAATATGCATTAAAATGACTCCCTAGAGATCACACATCCAGAAAACTCCCTGGTAATGCTCAAGCTCTTTCAAAATCTAAGGTGTATTTTTACTGATCTTCCTACAAGACAGAATAACAAAACCATTTCTCTGTTGAAATACCTTTGTAATTTAGAAAAAGTGTAATAGGTTCTTTAGCCTTAGACTGACGCACAAAACCTAATACTTAAAGGCATAGCTCATGCAGATAATGGTCAAGGTATTTGTGGTTTTCCCCTTTGGTTTTCTGCACTGACTCTGAACTCCTGTGCTTAAGGGAGTTCCAAAAATTAGATACAGATCTGTTTGCATTTAAGCTAATGACAGAAAATAATGTTAAAATTGATTGCCTCTCCAAATGGTAGTGTTACTTGTTCTTAGAATGCTGCACAACCATTCAGGATGAACAAATAAGCTTTGATAAATACACATTGTCCCCATTTCGTAGTTGAGGAAACTGAGGGGCAGGTTTGTCTGGTGGGTTACCTGCATTCACTGAACACATGAAGTAAGTGTAGTTATATCTTTGTCTTGTTGCTCCCTTCTTAATCACAAGATTTATCTTATTTATCTTCCTTTGACTAGCAGGTATTCTTAAAGAATTTCAAATCCCACTCAGAAACATTGAATGTGTTAAAATTAATTATACTTTAAAATGGGGCTGTTTGTATCCCATCTTATTACCAAGTGATTTCCCTCCTTCTGCTTGGCAGAGATACTTATTTTGGGAATGTTCTCAAGTGGTTGTCATGGATAGGAGAAAATAAGATATGTTCCAGGATTATTCTTGATAAGATGCCTTCTAAGAGCACTTAGCTCCCTATTTCATTCCTCAGTCCTGGTTCTCTGTGTTCCCTAACACATTCCTAACAGGCCCGGTGCTTCCAGCTTCTCTCCCTCCCACCCCTATTGCTGTGTATACAATCAGGGTCTTTCAGATCAGCTCCTGCTCACTTTTTTGACAGTCTTTAGATGTGCTAAATAACTCTAGGAAATGTATATGAAAGTCTAGGCGGCCTCTGCTCTTAAGAAATTTGTGAGAAGCTGTGTGTGCCTGGTAGAGACTGGCATTCTGCTTTCATGTTTGAGAGGTCCTGAATAATAAAATTTTGGGGTGGGAGCAAGGGTGAGAGAAAGTTGATCAATAATGTGCTTGAAAGTTCCTTTTATATGATGGGAAAGTTATTTATCACAGGTGCTTGTTTACTAGCTCCATTTGTTATGCTCTAATGCATTTTCAAGAATCCCCACATCCTTCTTTGTTGACAATGTCACTTGAGAAATATGCCTCATAAAACCTATTAATTGAAATTTATAGTACCCATCACTGCCGCTCTTACATGAGCCTGGTGGGCTAAGGCCCATCTAGTATTTCAAGCACAGTAGAGGAGAAATGTCACGTAAAAGGACATTGTCAGAGAAGAAATAGTCATCTTATAATGGATTATTCATGAAAAATTCAAAATCTTGAAGTAAATATTGACTGTTTTATCAACCTTGAAAACAGCTGGATTCTGTCTGCTCTCCATGGATGCATTATCCATAACCAAATCAGCACCGTGTTAGCCTCTAGTTTGGCATTTGCAGTGTAGGGAGGTAGAGGAGTCTGACATTTGACTCCAGCTTACTAATTTGCCTGGGTCAGCACTAGTTTGCTCAAGCAACACTATATGTGTATAATTGTGTCCCCTGATACAGCATGCACTTCTATACTGCGTGCTTGTGCAATGCTATGGAATCATATAGCATGCTGGAACTCATTCTGAGCAAGCCAATGCTCAAAGCATACAAAGATTCTGCATCCCCAGCACTGTGACCATGAATGAGGAAAGTGTTATTTGTTTGAACTTTCATGGGGTAATTTAGAATAATCTATTGTTATTTAAATTTTATGCATTAAAATTAAGATGGCAAAGTGCAGTAGTGGTCCAGTAAGAATAGGGAAATGTTTACGTTTGCCTGATAGTGCCTTCTGTCCACTCATCTCATGAACTGTGTTTGCAGGCCAACAGATGACAGCAATCAGCCCCCTGGCAGAGGAGTTCTCTCCATGCATGGTCTCACTTATGGAGTGATTCGAGTGGATTCTGAAGAAAAACTTTCTGTTCTTACTGTGCAGGATGTTGGCCTAGTGATGCCAGGAGGTGAGGATTGGAACAACTTTCTTTAAAACTTTTTATGAGTGGATTCCTCCCTACTATGAATGGATTAATTTAACTAATTTTCTGTACAAATCATTGATGGGGGTACTTTGCTGTTAGACAGCAGGGTTTAGGATTGTAATAGATATACTTAAAGAAGTTTAGTCCCAAAGCATTAGCTAACAAAACCTTGTGATTTTGACATCCTGAGGTTTCCTCTCTGTATTTACCTCAGTGAGTAAATTAGCAGGCGTTGAACGCTCTGGCACTGTGTCAGAGCATCAGTTCCTTAACCATGACATACTCATACAGTATTTGTTGAACTGAACCATTTGTGTTGATAAACTCAGAATGAAGCCAATGCTTCTAAAGGTGAAGATAAGCTTTTTTATATGAGTTAGATTTTAAGTGAAATGTTATAGGGACTGGAAAAGAGAGTACTGGAGTTTCTCATAACTGTATCTATCTCTGATAATGATAATATTAATTAATAAAATGTAAAATAATAGGCATCTTACAAAATTTCAGTTGAGCAACTTAAAATAAAGGAAGATAAGATTGATTGTTGTCTAATAGTTATAAAACATACTGTTACAGATGTAGCATCATGTGCTTCATACTACAAACTCTGATAGGAAGAGTACACTCTCCTTTTTATCCCTTTCATGATTCTTTCTATTAGCACTTAAAAGAGATTTTGACTCTTTTCTGGTCTCCTCTATTCACCATATTGTCTTTCAATTGCAAACTCTATGCTCATGCTAGACTTCTTGTGGAGGGATGGTAGCTAAATCAGCACACCTGACTCTTACTCCCATGGCTCACACATAAAGCTGCCTCTTGCTCACACCAGGTCCTTCAGATCCCTCTGCTTTATATTCTGCTGCCTCCTTGCTACGACAAAACCAGGGAAAGGGCAGCTGAGCTCTAAGAATTCTTAGCAAAACAGTGCTAGTCTGATGGAATATTTTAATCTTTCATATGGTGTTGCTCAGGGAGAGGTGAATTTCCTGGTTGCCTGTCTCTCTCCGGGAGTGTAATTATGATCCAGAGCCCATCTAGGGTATTCCATATTGCACCAGCTGGACCAAATCTGGTTTTCAGTATGTAGAACTGAGAACACACAGACACAGTTTGCAGAGATGCTACCAATCAACTGATATTTTAGAAAGCAAGGCACATTAGATCTTGGTTTTCAGTGTAAAAATTGGGTTTACATAAAACTCTTTTCATTCTTTGTGTAAATATTAATTTGTGTAAATATTAGTTTAATATTAAACACCGTAATGTTTGAAGAACTGTTTGTTAGACATTAGTATCCACATATAATTTATTTGTTTGCCACTTCCCCCATAGTGTCTTTCCCACAGCATTTATATTATTCTGTATTTGGTTTTATAATATTTTCTATTGTTCTTTGCTCTTCCTCTAGCTATAATGTGTTCAGTGAAGCCAGATGGAATTCCTCAGCTCTGTAAAACAGATGAAATAGGAGAACTCTGTGTCTGTGCTATTGCAACGGGTACATCATATTATGGACTCTCGGGCATGACCAAAAATACTTTTGAGGTAAGATGAGATGAGAAATTGCTCTATGAAACACCTCCTCTTAACTCTTTCTGTTAGAGGATATTGATTTACATAAAATATTATCAGCAATAATCAATGCTTGTGGCTTGGTCCTGGGTTACTGCAGCCAGATAATTGACACTGAAACTACTTTCATTAAGCACAGTAACAGATCCTTTATACAGGATCCCAACAGGCATCTTCAAGACATACTTGAATAATGAAGTTGCTGTTTCCTAATTAGTCCCTTCCTGTTTCTATTGGAATTGCCTTAAGTGAAAGCTTTTTTCCTTTTCTGATTCTTCCTCCATTATTATTTGGGGAAAAGAATAATTAAGAATAATACATTTACCTTTTTTATATTAAAAAAAGAAACCTCTTCTAATATTACCAAACATTTTTTTCAGTCTGAACATGGCTAAATTCTCCAGCAAAATGACTTCAGCTTTCAGTGTGCAGACCTGAATGTTGCAAGCACTATATCATAAGTAACTAGGGGAAGCTGATGGATATAGCTTTCCATCGTGCTATTGAAGCCAGGAATCCTACCCCGCTACTATAATGTGAAGTTTGCTGATCCCCAGTGGTGCTGCAAAAGCAATTAGCATTCCCCAGTGTGAACAGTAATCCCAGATTTGATGGACTTCTTGGTTGAAAATACTAACTTTGGAATACTTGCTGTAAACAATCATTCATAACTGATAACTTAGGTCTGCAGTTTAGCAGGGCACTTACTTACTTAAACTTATTCTTAACTGTAAGCTAATAAATTTCTATTGAGTCATCAGGGATAATTTGTTCTTAAAGTAAAGCATGTTCTTAAGGACCTTCTTCCATAGGGACTTTTTTATTATTAATATTTTAGTGTCTAATTCATGTAACAGGGAATAGAGAGTCAAAGAGTTTTCAGTTCCTGAGGTGAATTATGGCTGAGGAAGTAGAAGCATTAAATCTGTTCAGTAATAGTTATCCATGTGCATCTGAGAATGGAATTTGACCTTTCTTTTCAGATGAGCTTTGAAGGACACTCTTTGCATGGCCTTCCACTTAAATGACTTGCATTTTGACTATTTCGGTTTAAGGAAGAGACTGTAGGCAAATGTGCTATTTCAGAATGCAACCCAAAGTAGCTCATATACCAAAAGGATAAGGCCATGGTATTTATGAGGAGAAAAACAGGATAAATTGTCCTGAGTGAAACTCCATCCCAGGAAGTACACACCTGCTGTTCAAGCTAACTCCTTTGAAGAGTCTCCGTATGGGACTGTATTTTCATTTTTAAACAGGCAACATAAGGCATTAGCAAGCTATTGTAAGGATAGTATTGACCTTGAATAAAAATGCAGAAAGCTCTAAGAGTCACTAATGTGCAGTACATTAAAATAGCTTTACTTTCTGCTTGTTTATCTTGTATAGTGCTGGAAATGAGCAGGAGATACTGAAAGAATCTCTGCAGTAATACTTAGTTTTATCTTTGAAGTACCCAATGCATAGGACCTCATGTTAATTTAGCTCTACAAATCCTCTGCTTTACTCGTTATTGCTTATGGGTTTGTTTGTTTTTGTGTGCTGTAAATGATTTCCAAGGCCAAGGTTAGGGAGAATGTGTATGGAACCAGAGTTGGATTCAACTCGCTAAATCTCAGGTTTCAGAAAATTACACACTAGTGTTTAGGAGTTCCCTCTTTGCCGTCAGTGAAGTGAACATCACCAGAGACATATTTATTTCACTCCGTAAGAGCCACTTGAGAGAGCATGCTTGAAATACAGCAGGGTTAAAGACTTGGGTTTCTGTCTCTTACAGGTATTTCCTATGACCAGTTCGGGTGGCCCTATCACTGAATATCCTTTTATAAGGACTGGGTTACTAGGCTTTATAGGACCAGGTGGACTTGTCTTTGTTATCGGCAAAATGGATGGTTTGATGGTCGTCAGTGGAAGAAGACACAATGCTGATGATATTGTAGCTACAGCACTGGCAGTGGAACCAATGAAATTCGTCTACAGGGGGAGGTTTGGTCCTTTCTTTTCTCCCGTTAAAAAGAAATCATTATTTTTCCTAGATTCAGAATCTGCACTGGACTTTCTGAATGTAACTGATATCAGTAAAACTGCAATGATACAAAATTTCTTTACAG